AACATATGTTGACAAGGCAGCAAATGTTGATGAGGCGTCAAATGTTGATGAGACAACAAATGTTGAGGAGGCGACATTTGTTGGTGGTAAATTTCTAGCTACTTACTCTGCAAGCATTGTCATTGCACATTCCAGAGGGGTCATCAACCTCCTAATAACGTCTTCTGTAACTAACTCTTTGCAGTGTTCTATGAAACTCTCCATTGCTAAAGAAAAAACACACGAAGTTGAAATGCTGTCTAGAAGTACCTTACATATCCTATCTGGCATAGTTTTAGATCTAATGTTGACATTTTTTTTAAACATGTATGAACTTTTTTTCATAATAAAATCAAATGAAATGGACATGCAAATATTAGAGATGCACAAATGTATTGTGTTAATTCTGAGTTAGCTAGTGTTGGTGCCCATCCCTTCCCTCATACTCAAGTTAGTGCTTAGTGATGCTGCCATATACTAATATTGGTGGTGGTGATGAATAATCAGATCAACATTCTGCAGCATATGATATTGTTTGTCAACTTGAAAATCAGTATTTCTGCTTGTTTTTGCTTAATTTTAATCTTATTAATACATTTTGATTTTTAATGTATTTTATGAGTACCAGTTGATAACAGCTCTATAGCAACAAAGAGCTCCAGGAGTCTATATTTAAAAAGCTGGTTTAAATAAAAAAAAAGAAATACAAATTCATGTTATTCAAAAATATTGTATACGTAATTTCTCTATCATCATTTGTACTTGTATTTCAACCACATCCAACACCAAAATTGCAAACAATAGAATGCCTTAATCTTGTAGTTATAATATAGAATATGGTCATAACTTGTATTCAAATATACAGAAATAAAATAAAAATAAATAAATAAATACATTTTCAATATCCTTGGCTCAAGAAACTTATTTTTAATGTAATTGATTTTCTCACATGCTCATGTTCACTTTTTTAAAATGTAATGCAGAATAAATAAGACTACCTCTGCAACACAACCAATCACAGGGATGGAAAGCTTGGAATACTGGACTTATGTAGTACTATGATAATGTATTATAGCTTACCACACAAAGCACCTGCACGACCTTCTAGAGTTACCTGCCAGGTGAACGCATCGCCACGTGCCTTTTCAGACTCCAACTCTTTAGACGAACGGGGAAAAGCATTTCGCCACAGGAGCAACAACTTGGGCAAGTGATTTCTAATGACAGGGCTACCGAGGGTCATGACCCCAGCTAGGATAAGCCAGCCAGCCTGTGTACGGTGAAGTGACATTCTACTGTTCTGGGCAGCTGTCCTCAGCAGGTCCTCTGCAACATTGAATATTGCCTATATAGAAACATAACATTTTTAGTCAAGAATGTTGTTTTTAAATATGGAAGTGGTCTAGAATTAGATTGGTTTCCAATATGTCAAAATCAACTACAAAAAAATAGGATGTTTTACGTGTGAATTCAATGGTTCAATATTTGCAATAATATTAACATTCATAGCAATGCTACATATTCATTTATATCTAGTTTTCTGAATATAGGCCCACCTCATGTACACACAATTGGAGTTTCATTGTGGGTGGGAAGGGGGGGGGGTGCTTATACCTGTTAACTGGAAATGCAATAATGAGCCTACAGGACTTACTAGGTTATCAAGATCTAGCTCTGCCCTCTGCTCTGAGTATCCTAATGCCTAGGCCTCAAAACCAAGGCCAGAGTAGTCTAGGACTACTACCAATTTATAAGGATGTGAAATTAATGTTTCACGAAACCCATTAAAAGCTAAGCCCATATTTTCAGTAATAGAGAACATGCTACTTATTTCAGTAAGAGATACATAAATTATAGAGTACCACAGTCATGTCGTCACGACGCCAGTTGGCGCTCTCTGTTGCCAACAGACGTTGGTTACTGTACCTGAATGACTTGGAACAGGCATTTTAAAATCTAATATTTTACCATCAAAATGTACTAAAAACACAAAAGCTCGCATTATATTAGTTATCGAACACACATTTAATCATCAATTAAAATTACAAAGAAAACGTATGATACATGATCTTAATAATTACGTTAGAAATTGGGATCAATATTTTGTTAGTGGAGAAAATGGCGTCCGGTTGAATGCATTTTGCAACGATAGCAACAGAGTAGTATCATGTGGCATTGTGACGTAACACTGTAGTACTCTATAAGCACTCTTGACATAACTCACCTTCCCCTTGGAATGAGGTAAGCCTAATGGGCATTCTCTTACTCCTCCTAAAAGGGCAGTAATAGCACCACTATAACCAGACACTGCTTCTGGGGACCCCTTAAGATGCTGTAAATTGTCGATGCAGCGATCAAGAAGAGGTGATAATTGAGACGGAAGGGCAGTTGCAATGCAACGCAGACACCACGCTGCTGCTAAGCGGGCTGAATGACTTGGATGCAGAAGTACTGATGCCACTGTGTCACAAATATCTAAGGAGAAGAATCTGTGTATGAGCCAGACTAAATCTAGAGACATACATATCCAGTAAACATTTTATAAAATTAACCATATACAGTATATATGTTCTAAAACACAATTAAAATTTTGCCACTCTGATAGAATCATGAATATTCAGATAAAATATCTACATTTTACAGTGTTCTTTTCCAGCTTCATTCTCCTCTTTTCATTCACTTATTTATTAATTCATACATTCATTTCTCCATTCATTCAATCATCTATCTATTATTTATGACTTGCACATATTTTTTAACTTGAAAATGCAGACATACAAGGGATACGACAGTAGAGCTGTAATTGATAACGCTTTTTTAATTTGTTGTAGTCAAAAAAAAAAATGGGTAGCAATTTGAAATGCATGTAGCCAATACCACATTGGAATATTTTCCTATTCTTCCATTTCAATGTTTTTTGTGTTGTTATTCATGTGATTTTTTTTATGTTTTATGTACACTGGGTTCTCTGGGAGAACAGCAGCATTTTACTGTATACAGAATGAATAAATGAAAAATAAACAAAGTATGTATCATCAAAAAATTTAAATGACTTTACTGTTAGATGTGTCTGTAAGAAGAGGTGCTGCACAAGTAGACAGGCCTTTGACTAGGCTTCCCAATTCTTGCAGAGCACTGATCAAAACGTGTTGAGTGTTGGTGACATCAATAGAGGGTCTGTTTTCAGCAGCACCCTCAGCTGGGTTATCGCCTGCAACACAATTTATAGTTATAATTTAACCCATTGACAAGCTAATTCATTTGTTATTAATAATGTTTCATATATCTTGAAACCAAGTGTTTGGTAAAGGACTCTGTTCCACAATCTGGTGTATTTGTCTCTTGCATGACTATCTGTGTTAAGCTAAAAACATAACAGATATGGTTCATCTTGAGCTAATCAGATAAATGGTAAGTGGGGTGGCAATCTGTACATTAGGTATCACTGCCGTAATTGATGTCTAGGTCCCCTAAGGAGTTAGCTACAGAATTGCATTCTTTCATTTTTTATTTATAAGGTAAACACTACCAGGTAATTTGAAAATATATTGGAAATAAATAAATGACACAATTTCCAAGTGATCGATGTAATTCAGTACATGTTTGTGTTGTGGCAAGCAATACTCCAAGTAACTTAGCAACTGCACTTCTGACATCATAGTTTGAACCATCAAAGGCCCGGTAACAAAATGACACAACTGTCTCCAGTTCAGTCGTATACATAAACACAGCCTCTTTATGTAACTCTAGTAAACACTATTTAAGAAAAAAAATTTTTATAAGAATATAATAAGACTTAATACTTATTTCATTTCATTTATTTCATTTATTTCGCCTTTTTTACAATACAGTAAAATATTCAAAAAATATGAAAAGGTAATCCATGTTTCCCCCAAGAGCCGGCAGGATTACCAAAAGAGTGGCTCTCCAAGCAATGGGGGAAACATGGACTAGCAGTATAAATACATTATAAAAATATATATATATATATATATATATAAGAGTGAAAATACAAAAATAATTAACAATTAAAATATGTTCATTACTTATATTATTATTGTTATTTTTAGTATTATTATTATTATTATTATTATTATTATTATTATTATTATAACAACAATAATAATAACTACAATAATTTTAATTACAATTACCAGCATAATAATTATTGTAAATATTAAACAATCACACAAACAAATAAAAAAAGTACACAAAAAATTTGATCAGAAATAGGAAAACACCCACCCCCAAACCCTGCCCCCACTTCACAAACCAACAAACACCAAAAAGAGAAAATTAAGTAATTAGAGTTCACTTTTAGCTTGACTTGGGCATAGGCATATCTTAGTTTCTCAACTACTGGATACCACAGTTCAGTGCTGGCCAGTGTAGCAGCCCTGGCTATGTTTCTTAACTACTGGATACCACATTTCAATGCAGGCCAGTGTAGCAGCACTGTCCTATGTCTCTTAACTACTGGATACCACATTTCAATGTAGGCCAGTGTAGCAGCCCTGACTAAGTTTCTTAACTACTGGATACCACATTTCAATGCAGGCCAGTGTAGTAGCCCTGACCTATGTTTCTTACCTACTGGATACCACATTTCAATGCAGGCCAGTGTAGTAGCCCTGACCTATGTTTCTTCCCTACTGGATACCACAGTTCAATGCAGGCCAGTGTAGCAGCCCTGCCTATGTTTCTTACCTACTGGATACCACATTTCAATGCAGGCCAGTGTAGCAGCCCTGACCTATGTTTCTTACCTACTGGATACCACATTTCAATGCAAGCCAGTGTAGTAGCCCTGACCTATGTTTCTTAACTACTGGATACCACATTTCAGTGCAGGCCAGTGTAGCAGCCCTGACCTATATTTCTTACCTACTGGATACCATAGTTCAATGCAGGCCAGTGTAGCAGCCCTGACTAAGTTTCTTAACTACTGGACACCACATTAATGCAGGCCAGTGTAGCAGCCCTGCCTATGTTTCTTACCTACTGGATACCACATTTCAATGCAGGCCAGTGTAGTAGCCCTGACCTATTTTTCTTACCTACTGGATACCACATTTCAATGTAGGCCAGTGTAGCAGCATTGTCCTATGTCTCTTACCTACTGGATACCACATTTAAATGCAGGCCAGTGTAGCAGCCCTGAATATGTTTCTTAACTACTGGATACCACATTTCAGTGTAGGCCAGTGTAGCAGCCCTGAATATGTTTCTTACCTACTGGATACCACATTTCAATGTAGGCCAGTGTAGCAGTCCTGACTATATTTCGTACCTTAGCTGCAGCGCATCTGACAGCCATTGTCCTATCTTGTAGTGCTGCCCTGGCTGCTTTGTAGATGTCCTTATGACAAGACTGGCCTGCTGAACCTAGGCCTTGTAGGATCTGCTCAAGACATAACATAATTTCACACCGTCCTGTTGACTGTTGGAGAGAAAAAAAAACAATCAATAAACATTTCCTTTACACTTATTTTTATTTATATTATGAGAAGGAAATATTTAGTTAGATGTATTTGATATGGAGCTCCATTTTCAATAGGAGACCAAAACAGATTTACTAATTGATTGTAGAATTCTTAATTTAAAACCAAGTAAAGATTTACTAATTGATTGTAGAATTCTTAATTTAAAACCAAGTAAATATTTACTAATTCATTGTAAAATTCTTATTTTAAAACCAAGTAAAGATTTACAGTACTAATTTTCACATATTTAAAAAAATGTTAATTTTCAATATCCAAATATTTGTGACTGCATATTTAATAACCCAAATCTTAATACCAATATTTTTTTTATGTTAAAGCTAGCTTTTGTACTAATCTATACCTTTTTTTTTTAATGATTCCAAATAAAATCATAATTCTAGGATCCACAATCAATTACAGCTTGATAAAACTTCTAAGGTCACTCTGTTTATAAACACTCTTGCAATCTTATTTTTTTTATTAGACATAGTTTCAATTTCAAAGGGCTTAAATGAATCTACCCTTAATTGATAATTCAACTTGCTTCAACAAGGTACATACCTCTGCATTCTTTAGGGCTTTTATCAGATTTTGAATGGTCTCCATAAAACTGCTGCCAACCACTCTACCAAGCTTCTCATACATTGCCCCAATCACTGCCACTGCTGCACTATAAGCATAACAACCATTTTAAACCTTTGACCATATTACATCAAAATGTAAATGACTTAAATTGAATATAAATTATAGTTTTACAAAAACAAATATGTATGTAGACTTTTAAAAGATACTAATGAATAATGTATATATAGGGACACAATATACTATATACTGTATTTATAACCAAAGTATGAATCAGTGAATGTGATTTATTAAGAAAAAAAGTAATTATAAGAATGAAAGAGTGAATAAATAGTAAATGAATAATTAAGTGGATGAGTAAGATTATAATGAACAAATTAGTGGGTGATTGAGAGAATGGATCAGAGACTTTAGTATAAGTAAAGAAAGAGTGGACTAAAAATGAGTACATGAATTCATAGACTAAATAAGTGAGAGTGATCGTGAATGGGTGTTAGAGTAAATAATAGCTGTGACTTACAGTCTTGTTGGAAGGTAACTTGGTGAATCATCTTTACTCTTGATTATGTCATTGCAGAAATTGACGGTCTCAAACATGGAGAAAGTGTCCCCAATACTGTAAATGTTGGCAAAACACTTGCCCAGAAGAAGACGGGATGGTGGTCCATGTGACTCTAAGACCTGACATCGTAGTTGTTTCACCAATGTTTTCTGCTGCTCTTTGATATCAGACTGTAGATAAAAGTAAAAATATGGAACTATTGTTCAGAGTTGGATACCTGATAGCAAACAATGGCACAACCTCAAACCATTTAAAAATTAAATTAAAAGAATCAAGTAAGTTATGATTTTCCAATGAGACATGGAAGAAACTTTTCAGTTTTCATTGATTTTCCAACCTTTTACTAAGAAATAAATCAAACCAAATAAATCAAAATAAATACCTTTTGTGCAGCAGCTAGGACCTTATCTAAAAATCGTAGCCATTCGTAAACAAAGATTGACTTCTTCGAGTCGGCTATTTGGGATAACGCTTCCTCGTTCAGAAGTAGACTATGTGAAAGCTCCATGGCGGTTTGCTGCTCGTCCTCAATATCATTAGACTGATTATTAGGCACGCTCTGTTTGCTACCCGTGGTGGAACCTGCAACATTCAATTAAATAGTAAATAAGGACATTGATATTGGATGGTAAAATCGTAAATACCTCTACTGAAACAGTAATATGAAATAAACAGACAACATAATCATAATAAAAATAATACTAATTTTTGTATTGACAATATTATTTAACATTTAAATACAAATTATTATCATCATTTATTTAAACAAGTGTTATATAAAAAATTATTTATTTATTTATTAAATATACATTACAGATATAGTGTGGTTCCTTTATTGAAAATGAGTTGTAAGCCATGTAGTTGCTATGCTATCAAAGACTAATGCAGGTAGTTACATGATAATACAAATACGGCAAGCATTACGTCACAGCTAACCAAGTAGTGAGAACTTAAGTTATTCAACATTTTAAGAGGTTTACAATGTTAATGTGGGCTCTAAGATAATTAGTTGTCAGTTTGTGGGTGAGCCACATTAACATGGATTTATAAGAACATTTTCAATGAAAATCAATTGAGAACTAATTACTTCATAATTTGCATCCTGTATCAAGGATGTGGTACTAGCTCAAGACATCTTCGTTGCCATAGCAATAGTGTCTGCTCAGCATACATTTCAGTAATAAGCTATTTTAGTAATAAGCCATTTCCGTATGTAACTGCACATAATGGTTTTCTAAAAGCATATTTAACGAGGGTGATCCATCTAGCAAGGCTGATTGGGGCCAGCGCTACTTGTTTATGAGAGTGGATGCTAGCGCTGCTGTATAATGAAGTCTTCATGAGGATTGGGAAGGGGGCATCATTCCCCTAACCGTCTCTTTATGAGATTCTCTTTATTGAGGTTTGAAAGTGAAGTTGTTTCAGTTGTGACGATAGCAAGCACCTAAACCCACTCCCTATAACACACAGCTCCACACCTTTTGATATTGACAAAATTTTACTGTAATAGCAAAATTATCCTTATCATTATACTGTAATATACATTATTATTCAGTCAAAAAAAGATATCAAAAATGTGAAGCATTTTGTAAGTGTAAGATGTCCAAAAACTAATCAAAATAGAGATTTACAATTACATCAAAACAAGAAAGAAAAACCAAATTCACAACACCACAAAAAACAAAAGTTAGACACATATTTTTGTAATTATAAAAACATTACCATTATAAGCCATTATAAAATTATAAGCCAATATAATTCTCTTATTTTAACTACTAATATTGACATTTTTCACAATAGTTTGCCTATATTTCTTTCTATTATTATTAATCATTTGAATAGGTGAGATGTTTGTATTCTTTCGTCTGTATATTTGATATATTTAAATTTTATATATTTTACCAGCCTGTTAGTGGCGATGATTTGCTGTTGGTCTGTTGAAATGAAAAAAAATTTTTTTTTTTAAATTAATGAAATTAACCAATAAACATAAACATTTAAAAATACAAAAAATTCTAAGCATTTAGATTTAAGTATTAGTATTAGTACAAGTTTAGTCCAATTATGTTGTAAAAGTCAAGTACTTTGAGAATCTACTGAACGCCAATTAATTAGGTTTGCTTAAGGAATGACTAAGAAGCACAGAATAGCTGCATACTGTTAGTGGCTTAATTTTATGATTCTTCCATGTTCCAAACTCTAGTAATCATTAATAAAATTGTGAAAATCAATAGTCACAACATTTTAAGGAGAGAACTACTACCTACTAAGAAAGTTGCCTCTATGCACTTTATATAAACAAAAAGAAACATAACCTTAAAATATGCACGTTATCTGCATTGCTTCTTTCCACCCAGGAGTGGAAATGTGCTGATATATTTCAAGCAGCAAACTGTGGAATTTACCCCATAGGCATCGATCCAATGACTGGAATACTGTGGAAATGCGCTCTGAGATTAAGTTGTATAGAGTGCTTCATAAAAACCTACATATTATTATTGATCTATTATCCTAATACTACAAAATAAAACTACAGTAGTAAATAAAACAGCAAATATGGCAGAAGAATTATTTTCACTGCTCTGTTCGCCAGCACTTTGAAGTCCCAAATGTTAGGGGCCTCGCTTCAACAGTACTCACAGGAGTTTTAGAGAAAATGATATCTAGCTAGCCTCCTATATTTTAATACATAAATAAGATGTGAGAACAAGACTGCTGAATGGCTAAACAGCTGAACAAGAGGCAAAAAATTTGTTTCAAAAACATCTTTTTTAAGGAACTTCTTAAAATTTCAACTGTATTTGAATTTTTAATTTTTATTACGTTTCATAAATATACAGATGAAAAAGTAAATGATCGGTTGCCATAATTAACAGTGTTATATTTAGGAACTGGGAGTTTTTTTGAGTGGAAGATCTTAATTGCCTAGGAGGGCAATAAAAAATGTAATCAGTTCATCTATGTAGGCTGGATATTTTGAACACAGGGCCTTGTAGGTAGTCAGCAGGATCTTAAAGATAGTTCTCTGATTGTTCATGCAGTAAAAATGCATCCAGTCGTATTTTGTATCAGATTTTGGTAATCCGTATAAGATGGAGTTACAAGAATGCAGCACATTTGAATCTAAAGTGACTTCTAAGCTTGTAACTTGTGTCTTAACCATGTTTAAACAGTCACCAATGAGAATTTCCTTGATAGGTAGAGATTTGGAAAACTTGGGACTGGAAATGAATAATTTCTGTCTTGGCTTCATTGAGACTTAGATAGCTCAATGTTATGGGAAATAAGAGGATTTAGCAATAACAATAAATTTTATATGAACTGATTTTAATTAATTAATTTTTTGTGTTCTGCAAACTTTTAGTAGGGAAATAAGGTGACTAGAGCTAAAACTTCTACTTGGGCTGTGCGCACCCCCCTACTTATGCTGCTGCATTTATAATCCAATATTCTGTGTTGAGGTGGTCCCTTTGATTTGAGTTGATCCCTTTCTTGCAAATCCAAAGATATTCCATCTATGAACTGTCTCCTATTGATTTTGTTCACTATGAGAAAATAATTTTTTAAAGTGTTGAAGCAACAAGATAAAAAGCTCCATTTATAACTGAAATATTCAGATTCAGACATGCAGTTAGGCAAACATTGCACAAAAGACTGTATAGAATGGACGATGGACTAGACTAAATTAAATTATACCAATATTCTATATTATTCAAATCTTTATTGATTTAGGAAAAAAAATCAGGACAGCATAAAAAAAAATGCCATCGAGGACAGGAATTATTACATTACTGACCTACTGTACATGTCATTGTATCTAGGTAGAAATACAGTAGGTGAAAGATTTTATAGAATCCATACATGCTTGAACATTTAATTACCCTAATACAATAATTTATTTTATTATTGACTCACTGATATTTACCTATCAATATATTATGTAATTTTAACTGGGTGGAAATACAAATACAGTAGGTGAAAGATCCTATTGAATCCATATTTACATGTTTGTACATTTAATTAGCATAATACAATAATTTATTTTATAATGTCATTTTAACTAGGTGGAAATACAGTAGGTGAAAGATCCTATAGAATCCATATTTACATGTTTGTACATTTAATTACCCTAATACAATAATTTATTTTATTATTGACTCACTGATATTTACCTATCAATATATTATGTAATTTTAACTGGGTGGAAATACAAATACAGTAGGTGAAAGATCCTATTGAATCCATATTTACATGTTTGTACATTTAATTAGCATAATACAATAATTTATTTTATAATGTCATTTTAACTAGGTGGAAATACAGTAGGTGAAAGATCCTATAGAATCCATATTTACATGTTTGTACATTTAATTACCCTAATACAATAATTTATTTTATTATTGACTCACTGATATTTACCTATCAATATATTATGTAATTTTAACTGGGTGGAAATACAAATACAGTAGGTGAAAGATCCTATTGAATCCATATTTACATGTTTGTACATTTAATTAGCATAATACAATAATTTATTTTATAATGTCATTTTAACTAGGTGGAAATACAGTAGGTGAAAGATCCTATAGAATCCATATTTACATGTTTGTACATTTAATTACCCTAATACAATAATTAATTTTATTATCGACCTACCGATATTGACATACCAATATGTTATGTCATTTTAACTGTGTGGAAATACAGTAGGTGAAAGATCCTACAGAATCCATATTTACATGTTTGTTCAGTTTAATGGCCTACTTACAATAATTTATTCATGAATAGTTTTCATTGATTTATTCACCCTTTAATCAATCACTGTATCAAGTTCACAGAATCAAATCAACAAGGAAATAGAAAAAAAATATGAAAACAAGTAAACAAAGACAAGAATTTGAAAAAAGAATAAGGGAACAAAAATAAGGTAAAATAATATTTTTAAAAATTATTACAGTTTATTATGAGTTTTCATGCTACAACTATTTTAAATTAGTGTTATCAATTCATCTTTTTTGAAAGTAGCAGAATACTGTATATTTTACACATTTTATTTTTTACATCAATCTGTTGATGTTTGAAAATGAAAAAGTTGCTTCTTGTTATTCTATGAAGCGACCATATTAAACTCTCGACCTTAATAGATAAAATTAAGTTATTGCTTAATAATAAATACTCCATCTTGGAAGTATGCTGAGTTTACTATAAAAGGATCTCCTCAGAAAAAAAATTTAAAAGTAGTAATCAATTCCTATGTCTGCTGTAGTAAATAGTAACATGTCACAGCAAACTCATCATCAATCAGTTCAAAAAATATCAGAAAAAAGGTGAATTTTTTAATATTTTGAAGATAAAATAAATGTATGTACTACAGAGAGAAGTAATTAGTACACTTTCAGACAATTAGATTAAAATTAGGTCAATTCACAATTAATTTACCATTTAAAAAACAAGATTTGCTTCGATTTTCTTTCCTTAGAATGCAAAGTCAATAAATTTACTGTAGATACATTGACAAGTTACAGCTATACTTAATACTCATTCTCCAGATCAAAAGGTGTAATTATAATGCAACTGTGTGCATACTGTACAATATGTAGTCTTTTGAATGATAATGCATTGTGTACTAAATCAATTATGATATAATATTTGCATAATTGATAACATTATCTCCAGATTTACAATAGAATAATCAAATCCACAGTGATGATGAAGCTTTGATTGATGATCCTTGAAGATTTCCATTCATGCCAAAGATATTAAATATGTAATTGGTCGACTAGTAATAACATGAAGTGTAAAACTGTAACAGCTAAGCTGTGCAACATGCCGTGGAGTATCTCCACCATCAATTGAATGCTTAGGGTTCAAATCTTAATAGAGATCATAACTATTTCTTTGAAGCAAATTTATTGATAGTTTAACAGAAGAGCAATAAAAAAAAGAAGGGCTAAATATATACAGTAAAACCAGTTCAAATTAATAATGCCTAATCTACAGTATACATAATTTTATAAAATAGTTTCTCATCAAAATTTATTGAAAAAAAAGATGACCACTATTATAGCTATCACATTTTTCAGACCATTATGCAGTTACAGTAAGACTGAAATCTGAATATTTAAGGGGCAGTTTTTTAAAATTTTTTTATTGTATTTTATATAATGTTTTGTTTTTTGGGTCTCTCTGAGGGTTGGGTTTTTACTTTTAGGAGGGATCCAAAATAATAATGATTTGATCTATTTTTCTCATTGTCATTACAAATATTTGTTTTAATTTCAATTTAAATTCATTCATTCATTATTATCTGAATAAATATATCTGAATCAGCTTAATCATAAGCAAGGACATTATATTCTATTATAAATTATTCCTAAATACATACATGAGCCAATAGAGATTAACTACTGTATATGCTTAAGAATTATTATAGTCATAAAAACGTTATTATTAAACAATAGACAATTTCTATGAGAAGATGTGTGAAAAACATAACAAAAAAAATCCTACTCAAGCTTTGAATACCTCTACAGCTATGATGATAATAATAATAATTATTAATAATAGTTCATTCATATACTGTATAAAGCAGGTATGATATGCTTGTCAGCCACAATTTTACTGCCTAATGCTAACACACCCATTCAGAAAATTTAAAGCTAATTATAAAATGGTGGGTGCTTCCTTTGGAATGCTAGAATTTAGATATTCAGTCAAACGTATGGAGTAAAGCAAGTAAAGCATAATAATTATTAGCCATTGATTTGATCTGTTGCGCTTTAGACATAACAGTTGTTGAATTTTACAAACTCCATCTGAATACTGAAAAATTTTAAATCCTACCTTCTCGGAAAAGAACATTATCAATTAGGGAGTAGACTGCGTTTTTCACTCTCCTTCTATTATGGTGCAACATCATTAATATTCAGAGATAATATTCCTTGTGGAAAAATCTTCACATCTGCCTTAATTAACATGGATGTACCTACAGTATGGGCTAGGCTGGGATAAATTAACAGACATCGGAATAAGCTAACACAGGCAACACATCCTCTGTACTGAATCTTTGAATATCGTCTTCTGTGAAATGTACCATGAGCGAGTGACTCATCGGGTATTTATTACAACTGATTTTCTACACTCGTCATGACTGGAGTAATTGCAGTAATTTCTTAATAGATTTCAATGAAACCATCTTACTGTACATGTACTGTATGTTATCAATTGGGCACATTCTTGAGAATTGAGATATTTTGATTCCACTGAATGTAATTTACCACCAACATTCTATTATTTATAGTTTTTTAGAAATTAATCACCGGCATGAAATCCTCACATTCAGGCATTTACATTTTAACAACGATATGTCTAAATTTTGTATTCTTACCCGCTTTACCAGAACCTGGAATTCCATCCCCAGTGAGATCCGCGAAATTGTTTGTTAATGGCTGCTCTATCAAAATGTTTACACTTTCTTTATAGCAATATTTTAAGTGTCATAGAGATGTATTTTGAATTTTATTGTTTCTATTTTATTGTTCTTGTCTTGTTCATGTTTTTTTAATGCTGGAGAAGCACACATTACTGGTGACAGCGTTTTTATGCTTTTGCTTCTCCTCAGCTATTTCTTCAGATTTTGTACTGTTTTTTTCTTTCCGAAATGAATAAAATAATAAATAAACTAGAAATACTCCTTTTACGCTGCGCAGTAAAAGCATAGCCTCTCCACAGCGTTATCTTTCTCTGAGAATTGATAAGTACAAGCTTGAATTGATAAGTACAAGCTTGAAACCAATCAGACTTACAAATCTTTAGTTATTTGTGGTAACAAACAATTTACTACACCAGCGGCAAAATATTGCAATTTCACTTAAATTAGAAATTTTCTTTGGGAATTATGATGATAGTATTTAAGTATAAATTTCCTGAATAGTAAAATATATGCAAATGAGCAACTAGCATATTCAGACACGTACCAAAAAACAATAGGCTCCCTCTTCTTATTACCATCTTGCATTATGCAAAGTTTGAAACCAATCAGATTTACCGAAACTTTAGTTATCATGGTAACTAGACTTAATTACCTGATTAGCATTTTGCATTCAGCCAAGTTTGAAACCACTTGGATACAAAACATTAGTTATTGAAGTAACAAACAAATGACTGACAATGACAATAACGACGTCAACATGAAGAAGAACATAGGTAAGAACAATAGCCTCCCCGGAGCTTTGCTACTTGGGGAGGCTAATAAATAAATGTAATGTATACCACATAATAAAATTGCGAATTTAATGTCAGTCAGAGTAGAATATAAAGTTCTTCGAATGTTGTATAACAATAATAATAAATATTGAGATATCGTATAATATAAATATTAATAATAATAACAATTATTTTAAAGCAAGTTTTTAAAATCAAGTAATTGAATTTCAAATGGTAGTACCGTAGACATACAGTAAACATTGGGACTACATTTCTTCACTTATTTTTAGAGTGGAAAAAGACCCGATTAAAGAATAATGTGAACAAAAAAAAGCAAGCAGGAATTGTGTTCTTGAGTATGATGTTCACAAAATGTTCTTCCCATTACTTACGCTTTTATCAAGGTATGACACTTTTGAAAATAGGCAATTAGCCGCTAAACTGAATTCAGAGCTAAGTTGACTGGCTTGCGTGGTATCACAGAAGCTAAGCTGAATTCCTAATGTGTAGTGGGCTTAGAAATCAGGATTTAAGAAAATGTATTTTGAGTTTGTGAGAATTTAAAAAAAATAATACATACTTCTCAGATCATTAAACATTGCAATTAACAAAGAGCTAAATCAAAAAAAGTATGGAAAATGGTCACTTAAAAAACAAAATTAAAACACATATCAGACAGAGGAACAAATGGATGCCCTAACAAACAGATGAAACAAATCAAAAAGTATTATCTATGATATGATGATCATCAATGAAAATATTCACCAAATTATGCGGTCTTTCTAGAATTTGTCCAATACTTATAGTCTGAACCAAAATCTCACATAGCAAAGCAAATATTGTAATTCATTACAGCAGAGAAATTACACCACCCACTCATGGCAATAACATTAATAGGATGAGGCTTATAAAAACCAGTGTTTTCTGACTGCATATCTATGTATCATGGTTACAATAGTTGAACAGCATAGTCTCCTATAAACATTATTCCTCTTGAACATAGCTCTTGAAATTAATCTTGATATCAGTTGCGCATTAATCTTTTTACATATCATTGATTTTTTAAAACCGAACAAAGATATTCACACATTGGCAAGATACTTTTGTTCGTTTCTAAATATTGAATGAAATGTGTGAATTCAATCAACATGACAATGGTTTCAAGCTTTTTGCACCTGAAAAGGTGTTTCTAGGTGATGTTGTACTTGTTTAAAATCACGTACTGTATATTAGTAGATTAATCTACTGAAAATGCATCACACATCGATTTATATAATTTTTATGTCGAATATCATAACATTAAATATTACTTGCATGTAACAGAAGTGAAGAATGCATTTCAATTGTAGATAAATTTGCTATGAACAAATTTGAAAAAAAAATTAAACAATTATATAAACTGTTTAAATAATACTCTGTCAATATTCCTACCAGGAACCCACTTGTACTCCTGGGTGGAGAGAGGCAACCGTAGATAAGGTGCCTTGCCCAAGGACACAAGCGACTTGCACAGCGAGAGTTTCGAACTCCCAACCTTGAGGTCGGGGGTTCGAAACTCTCGCTGTGCAAGTCGCTTGTGTCCTTGGGCAAGGCACTATGGTTGCAGGGGCAGATTTAGGCCCCCCCCTTTTGGGAGGTAAAAAAAAGAAAAAGAAATGAAAAAAAGAAAGAAAAAGAAAAAAAATGATAGCCCAGAACGCCTCAAATGTTATTTTCG